TTTTTGTATTTCATGTTTTGATGCAACTGAGTGCTTGTAAAGCCATTTCAGAGGGTGTTTAAGAGTCGGTCACAGAGCTGTAGCTCTGGAGTTGTGTGTGGGTCAACCAGATAAGGACGGCAGATTTTCTTCCCTTCACATTATTGGTTCACTAATGTTTTTGCAATTGACAATAGTTCAGATAACCATTAGACTAGCTTTTAGTCTGGTATTTGTTATTTTATTAAGTAAGAAAATTTATAAAATTAACTTATAATTAAATTTAAATTTATTTATTAAATTCCAACAGCTGGTGTGGGGGGAATTTGAATCCATAAAATATTACAATGGGCCCCTGGATTGCAAGACATTGCCTCTATGCTAGTAGTTTGCCTTAATCAAGTAGCCAGGTAGTTAAACTTCTGTTTGTCAAAAAACAGTTCCATGTGACATTAAATCGTAGAAACCCTACAGGGCAGACAGAAGCCGTTGAATCCATCGAGTCTGCAGCGACTTCAAAGGGCATTCCATCCCCATTTCCATATTTATCATAGCTAATCCACCTAGCCTACACGTTCTTGAACACTTCAGGGCAATTGGGTGTGGTAAATCAACCTAACATGCACATCTTTGGACTGTGGGAAGATGCTCGAGCTCCCAGAGGAAACCCTAACGGACGTGGGGAGAACGTGCAAACTCCAAAAAGACAGTCACCCAAGGCTGGAATTGAACCTGGGTGCTTGGTGCTGTGAGGCAACAGTGCTAACTACTGTTCCTGTGCCACCATGCTGTCCCACCTAAGTAGCAAAAACAATTGTTACATTCATACACGTGTATTGCAATATTCTTTTTTTTTCCTTTAACTTAAATGACCAGAAATACTAATGCTAATAGGTACATCTGCTTTATTTCATATTGTGTTAACTGAAAATGCTGGAAAGCATTTCAGCTTGGGCAGCACTTATAGAAAAGAGGTTAACGTTTTAGACTGATTACTTTTAATCCAGTCATTTTAAAATGTTTGCATTTTCATGACCTTATTTTGGCTCGCATGGGGAAGCAATGGCCTAGTGGGATTATCGCTGGACTGTTATTCCAGAGGCCAAGATAATGTCCCGGTTTCGAATCCTGCCACAGCAGATGGTGGAATTTGAATTCAATAACTGTCTGGAATTAAGAATCGAGCGACATCCATGCTGATGGTCGGAAAACCCATCTGGTTCACTCGTCTTCCAGACCCACAGCATTGTGGTTGACTCTCAACTGCCCTCTGGCCAATAAATGCTGCCTAAAAGCAGTGCCCTCATCCCGTGAATGAACAAAGAAGAAAAATTTTGCTCGTTGGAAAGATTCCATTGATAAAACTATGCAATCAACCTCAACTTTTTGCTTCTCAATGTAAAAGTTACACTCAGCACAAAATTACGTTATGCATGTAAAAAAAAAAAGTACAATTATACCCACCTTTAACCTTTATTATTTATAATTGCCTGCCTTATTGGTGTTTTCTCTTTATTTGCCTCCTTCGCCTCTTTCAGATGCATGCTTAGAGTGTTGGATTCATTTGGTACGGAACCAGAATTTAACAGTGCTCAATATGCTCAGTCTAAGGGCCATAAGACACCATGGGGTAAATGGAACCTGAACCCACAGCAATTCTACACCATGTTCCGTGAGTAATTTATTCCATTTGATTCTCTTTGCGTTAAATGATTTGAGGATTAAATTCTTCATTATTAGAATACTAGTAGACCACAGATTTAATTTTTGAGTCGAATAGAAAATTTTAGAACTTAAGAGACAAAAATTTTGTACAGGAGTCTTAAAATGTTTAGGCTAATTGCTCCGTCTAAGATATGGGCAACATAAATATGTTTCTTTGCGACCAGTTGACATTTTAAAGAGTGTTGTACAAAATTTTTGCCTTTTTAAATTGCAAAGCTCTGAAAACTACTGACAAACCAAACACTGAAAATAAGCAAGTAAACATATCAATGAGTAATCTGGTGCAGAATTGAAATTTACAAACATACGAACGTATCATCTATTTCCCTTGAAACTCAGTAATTATCTAGATGGGTTTTTATAACAATCCAGTGGTTTAATTGTTCCTAATGCAAATAACTTTTATTCCAGCTTTATTAATTGAATTTAAGTTTTCTCAGTCACATGGAGGATTAGGACTCGGGAGCAATAGTCCAGGCTCTGAATGACTAGTCCAATAATAATGCCAGTGTGATACAATCAGACTTGTGTGTCCAGAACTGCATTGCAGGATCCTGAATGCAATTTTACCAGAGCTTTGTGTAACAAATAAACTTTCATCTTTTTTTGTATTAAGGCCAATATTGTTAATAGTATTTTAATTGTACTTGCTGCATGTTCATTCGTTTTTAATGATTAATTGATCCTGTGAACCTGTCTCTTCCCTTATACTTCCTACTTTCTTCATTCCGTGATACTTCAACTTTGTACTCTCTTTTAAAACAGTTTTGATTTGACTGATAAAGTTGAATTTATTGACAGTCATGTTCGTTATTTTATGGTTCAGGGGATGGAAAAGGCATGTAATAGTTGTGTGTAAATTTAATAGGTAGGATTGTGAAAAATTGGCTAAATTTCCTAGCTAAATTTTCCTCATTCTACAGAGGCTAGGGCATAAGGATATTTTGTCAGGCTGGCCACAACATTGACAGAATTCTGAAAATGAAACTCAGGTTGCTTTTCAGTGGAAGGTCCAAGTTGTGAGCCTTAAGCTTTTTATTAAATTGCCAGCATTAAATCCCATTGTTCAAGTCTCCCCAGGCAAAAGTTATACCACTATAACCACTCTGTGGAGAACATTTTACTGCTAATGTAGCTGTTGCTGAAATGGCTGCTGCTGCCTTCGACTGAAGATGCTTCTGTGGTACTGCTGCCATTCCTACTACTGGCCCCCTCAAAAGCATCCACATTGTGAAGGAGGCCAGTGGTTCTACCCACTGGCCACACTGGGAAGAACTACCAGTACTGGAATCTAACTGCCATTGCTAATGACTCTCAAAAATAACTTTGTATTTGGTGCCATACTCTGTTCCACTTTCAAGGTTTCTGATCCAGAATTCAGACATGTTAGGATTGTGACCTACTAGGAATATTCAGCTCAATAAATCTCTAGGAACTAAAAGCTGAAAGAAAAGGCTGAAGGATTGGATAACTTTTATTGGGGGCTATAGTTGGAAATAACTTTTTTGATCTAAGGTAAAATGGGTGGAAATTACATTATATGTAACTCTGGCACCTGCATTGAAAAATGTTTGCCTTAGAAGCAAATGTTAAAAAGCAATGTTTTTTATTCTATTTGAAATTCTCTTCAATCTTAACTGAAGGCTGTATTTTGTTCATTCCATCACTGATGAAGCATTACCAGATTATCAATACTGTTGAAAATTGAAGCAGGTGCAGTTGTATTTTGTGGAATGCATGATATAATTCCTAACTGGGTGGGTGACTTTTATTGAATCATAGGCGAAATATTTTGGCTTAACAATTCTGTTAAAATCCGTTTGCTTACATTATGTCACGCTCTTTACAAATGTATGGGATTGTGCATGTTGAAATTTCACTAGCCTGATATTCTACACAAGTGCATTTGTTTGTTATTGCCAATGACACTAAACAGCTACAAGCTAACAGCTCTAACTAAGAAAAGAAATTGTCACTATACTTAAGTTGAGACTGATCATCAACCAAATTGATTTTAAGTGAAACAAATACATTTACCCACTAAGAACTAGACTATACAAATGATGGATTTTTCTTGGAATAATGTACTGGTATAGCTACAATTAATTAATTTTTGCTAATGTTTATGTAATTTAAGAACATTTAAAATGTTTTAATTCTTTTTTATCTTTATTGTTTTTTTGTTTATACTATAATCTGGTTGACTACAGATTTACCGCGTCTGTTCTCTTATCCGCTAATAAGCAGAAGTGATTATTTTCAATAGAGTAAATCACACATTTGTTGGCTGTTTAAAATAAGGTAAAAATGTGCTTGATACCCTTTTAAACTAGCAAGTTTTTCAAGAAGACATCATCTTTCACACTGTAATGTGTCAGTTCATGCCTTATTACACTCTTGGCACTTAAAGACCATCCAACCTTGCCTTACTCTCCTGATACTGGGCATAACTGAAATAACTTTGGCTTGCCTTGTTTTGTCTAAAGTACAGGCAGCTTAACACCAAAACCGATCATAGGGTTATTGGACAGAGCAAGGAATAAAAAGTTACAACTGCAAGGAAGGTGTACAAAAAGCAAGATCAACATTAGATTTGAAATTGGAGGGGTCCATTTAGAAGTCTGATAACAGCAGGGGGAAAAGCTGTTCTTGAATCTGTTGGTACATGTGTTTTAAGCTTTTATCTTCTGCCTGACAAGAGGTCGGAAAAGATTATAACCGGGGGAGGAGAGGGTCTTTGGCTGCCTTTCCATGGCAATGAGAAGTGTAGATGGAGACAATGGATGGAAGGTTGGCTTGCATGATGGTTTGGGCTGTGTTCACAACTTTCTGTAGTTCTTTGTGGTCCTTGGCAGAGCAGTTGCTGTACCAAACTGTGACTCATTCAGGTAGAATGCTTCCATGGTATACTGGATTCCCGTTGTCTGCTATTGATGTATTGGTATTATACAGGTGATATTTATATGTATTGGTAAGTTGGTATTCTGTGAATGAAAGAGCATCTAAAGCTAAAGATTCCAAATCCAGTTTTCAAATAATTTTGCATTTAGTTGTGTAGCTCTGGATTTATTTTTTAAAAAACCCGTTCATGAGATGTGGGTGTCACAGGCTAGGCCAGCGTTTATTGTTCACCCCTCTGTCCAGAAAAGAGTTAACAGTCAACTGCATTGCTCTGGGTCTGGAATCACATGTAGGCTAGACCAAGTAAGGATGGCAGGTTTTCTTCCCGAAAATTTGTGAACCAGATGGGTTTTTATGACAATCAACCAAGAGTGTGTGGTCATCATTTGGATTTTTATTGATTTCAGATTTCACCATGTGCCTTGGTGGGACTTGAACCCATGTCTGGGGTGCTGGATCGGTATTCCGATGATGCTATCACTATGCCGCTGCTGCCTTTAAAATGATATCGCAGGTTTAAAGGCTATGGAATATTTAGAAGGCTTTTTAAGAAGTACATTTAATATATTTTGTAGCTCAACAGCATTTTTGATTTTTGGCAGATCTGCAGAGAAGAATATAAAGAGATTTAAATGCCAAGGCTGTTGTAAAGAAGTGACTTATTTGCAATTGTAGAAATTGTCACAGAGCTCCTGATTTAAACACTGCGAATTACTGTCATCTTTTTAATGTTATGTTTATATTACTTTGGTTAAAAATTGTTTATTGCTATTACATGATTCACTTTTAAATATGTGCCATTCAGTTTTTCACCTGCGTGATACTTCCCATTTATTTTTTGGATCGCTAAGATTAGCATTTTCAAATGTTAAGAATATGCATCAGGATAAAATGTTGATCCCTAGAATCCCTGCTGGGTTCTCCTAAACTGATCACTATTTTGATCAAATTATGAAATCTGTGTTGTCTATCTTGCCTGTCTTTGCAGCTCATACACCTGACAACAGCTTCCTAGGATTTGTGGTTGAACAACACCTCAATGCCAGTGATATTAGTCATCTTGATGATATCAAAAGGCAAAATCAGTCCCTTGTATACGGCAAAGTGGATCACTTTTGGAAGGTACATATATTCAACAATTATTCTACAATGACAATTATTACCTAGTTACGTTTATTTCACTGAGCTTAGGCGGGCTACGATAAAAGCAAAATTTGTTGAGCCCTTGCATCTGCCTGTTCTTTTTTATCATTGACTTTAATAATTAATGTTTAAATCTATACCCAGCACTTGGTGGGAAGAGTAATTATCAATTACAGGTTTTATTTTTCACTTGAAATCTGGCAAGGGTCTTGTACAGTCATTTGTATACCTGAATACGTTTTTGAACAGAGAAAATTTTTTTTTGCATCTGTTGTCAGACTCCTGGTTGCTATCAGAATATTTCTTGTACATGTTATTCCTACTTTCTCCAGGCATCTTAGCCTAAGCAGCTAAGTAGACTCAACTTCTTTCCCTTTCAGAAGGAGATTAGAATTTCACAATGATGAAGTGATATTTTAGTTAAATAAAACCATTATTGGGCCACATCAGAGGAATTATATTTATTTCTGTGCACTGCACCGCCGAAAAGATAGACTAGTTTTACTTGAAATACAGTGCCAATTCAGGATTCAAGCATTAAATTATGAGGATAGCTTATTTAAACTTTATACCCTTAATTTCAGAATATTGTAGCATTTTAAACAAAACACTTAATGTAAAGGGACTTGAGAGGTCAAAGGTTTCTCATTCCGTTGCTGCAGTACATTGTTTTCTTCTCTTTATTTTGTTAATCCCTGCATCCAATTAAAATATGATGTTAGTCTTCTCTGTTTCAGGTTAATAATCCTAGCATGTTAGACCTATTTTCAATCCAGAACAAGTGGTTGAAGTGAATAATTTCAGTGTATTCACTGGGAGGCTAGACAAGTGTTTGATGGAGAAGAGAGCAGATGGTTACAATGGTAGATTTTGACAGGGGAAAAAAATGAGGGCTCAAATAGAGCATAAACATTGGCATGCATTGAACCAAATGGCCTGTTTCTGTGTTACTCTTATATAATCCTACATTGCTCATCAATAGTTTCTCATCTTACATTCTTTTAGTTCAAGCTGTGCCGAACACATTATTTTTACCTGTTTTATAACTTCACACACAGAACTGCAGACAGAACTCAAACCATGGCTTCCCCATTTCTTTATACAATTCCATTATTTCTTTGTTCTTGTATACTATACCTTTAAATTTCCAAAACACACACTGCTTTATCACTGTGTTCAAACTGGCATCAAATTCTGTGTCTTACCTATTTGTTCGTTAATAAAAATGTACAATCCAATTTCTGTATTTCCTCCCAACACGTAACACATCTCATTTCTCCAATTTAAAACGCATCTACACTTGGCTTTCCACTGTATTAGTCTGACTGATTTTGAGAGGAATAACTCCTGGGTACATCATTTTCAACCTTTTTTTCTCTAATCTAAACAACACCTGTTTTTATCTTTCATTTCCTGGAAGGCAAACAGCTGTCTATTTATATTACTATGTTTCTTTTTGCTTTTTAAACTTTAATTACAAATATCTTATGGGATATGTTTTTTATCTCCCTCTGTAGTTTGTACTGTTTCTACACAATAAGATTTGTTGATCAGGAATTTATACTATATTATAGGTGTAGGTATAACTGGTTAATTTCTGAAGACGGCATGATTCTAAAGCATATTTGGGAGTATTAGTGAGTGGTTCACAAAATGAACAGTTCCTACATGGATAGGGTAATTGAGGTGGTAAAAGATGTAATAATCTAGGAAATAACCCAGGGGAAAGATTTTGGGGTCTTTTTGAATGGATACCCTAAAATGGGCTAAATAGTCACCATTATAATAATCATTTTAATTATACTTTATTTCTCTGCTAAATGTTTTGTTTAAATTGCTTGTTTATAATTTGAGGTAGTTGCCAGATGGATGTTGGTGTACTAAATCTATTTTGGAGCTATTGACACTTTTCTGCAGAAACATTGTTGGTTTCTTGGATATTTAAGGGAGATGCTGAACAAACCATCAATAAATTCTTTGGTCATGAAGATGTGGGAGTTATTACAGCGCAGGAAGAGGTCCTTTTTGGACCAATTTGTCCATGCCGGTCATCAAACGTTCGTCTGTTCTAATCCCATTTTCCAACACTTGACCTGAAGCCTTATGTGCCATGGAGTTTCAAGTGCTCATCTAAATAGTACTTAAATGTCTTGAGGGTTCCTGCCTCTACCACGTGTTCAGGCAGTGACTTCCAGATAACCCACTACTCTTCAGGTTGGGGGATAAAATCTTACCTCAGACCCCCTCTGAACCTCCTGCTTCATAAGGGAAAACCTTGCCATTGGGTCATTCACTCCTCTATTAAGAGGAAAAGTTTCTCCCTAGCTACCCTGTTTATTTCCCTCAGAACTTTGCATCCCTTAATCAGATGCCTACCTCGGCTTTCTCTACACAACGGGAAATAACCCCAGCCAGTGTAGATTAAAAACCAAAAGAACTGCAGATGCTGTAAATCAGGAACAAAAACAAAGTTGCTGGAAAAGTTCAGCAGGTCTGGCAGCATCTGTGAAGAAAAAAAGAGGTAATGCCTCAGGTCCAGTGACCCTTCCTCAGAACCGAAAACTTGTTGTCCCAGCCTAAGTACTAAGTAGTCTTTTTTTCGTAGCTGAATCGCTCCAGCCCAGACAAAAACCTGATGAATTGCCTTCTGCACCCTGTCTAGTGTAATCACATTTTTCCTATATTGTAGTGACCAGAATTGCACACAGTACTCTCCTGAGCTGTGACCTAAATAATACATATTATCAGCCAAGTTCAAATTGCCAGTTTGATAATTTTAAGCATGAAAGGGCTTCAGAAGTATGTTTTGATAACTTGAGCAGAAGTGCAAGACTGGGGTCCCAAAGTCATCATCCCTCAATTCTCTGCTTGTACACCCAACATTTGTGGTTTCATTTTCTGAGAACTGGAGGGAATGCTATGAAATTTCAGGAATCCAGCATAATTTTGAAAGCCCTCCAGCAAAGCTTGACTGTGTTACCATAGGACTGTCATTAAATGCATATTTACCAGCTATATTTTGACAGTTCAGAAATAAAATGATTTTGTGTTGAAACAATTAGTTATCAAAATCAAGGGTTTTATAGAAAATGTGTGACTTCAGATGAAACTGCATGTGAGTGAGGTATTTTCTGTAATTGCAGAAATGTCAGTAAAATTATGATGGTCGTTGAGTCAAGTAAATTAGTCTTGATAGGTAACTATTTTATCAAGGTGTAAAGTTCAACATAGTAAACACTCCCTTAAAACCAAATGTGGTCATCACATTTGCCATCTTTAGAAAAGTACACTTGGATAATGAAAAGCTGTTGCCCAGCTCCAACTATCCAACTAACGTTAACCCAAGAATCCATTACCTGAGGTTCTTGGGCTTCTAACCATTCTCATTGACCACATGTTCCAATGGCAAAAGTTTCAACATGTTTCTTTACTGATGGATTTAACATTCTTTCAAAATATTGCTGGTATTAGATTGATGTTTTCATAGGGGTTATTCGAGCTAATCTTTTAACCTTTTCATTTGTCGAGCTTGATTTATCATTTATTTATATTAACTATAAGGAATGAAGAAGAGTAAACCATTCAGATCATGGAACAGTATGAATCTTTCAATCATATCATTGGCCGATCTGATTTTAACTTCACCTCTACATTCCTGCATATCCCTGATAATCTTTCCTTCCCTTGGTAATCAAGAATCTATTGTTGAAATTCTACACTCGCTTTGAACAGGATGTCAGTGAAACGATGTCACCTATCCCAACAGCCTCGGCTGCACCTGTACCCATGGTGACTGCCACAGATGTTGGATCGGCTATCTTGAGAGTGAACCCATGGAAAGCAATTGGCCATGATGGAGCCCCCGGCCGTGTGCTCCGATTCTGTTCGGACCAGATGGCAGGAATCCTCTCAGAAATCTTTAACATCTCCTTAGTACAATCTGAAGTCCCCACTTCAAGAAGATCACCACTGTGGTGTCAAAGAAAAGTTATGCAGCGTGTGCCACTGACTATCGTATGGTGGTGCTGACCTCCATAATCCATGAAGTGTTTTGAGAGTCAGTCATGGTTCACATCAACTCCAGCCTACCAAATTGCCTTGATCCTTTGCAATTCACCTCCTAGCACAACAAGTCCACAGTAGATGCCATTTTCCTGGCCCTGTATGGATTCCTGGAACATCTGGATAACAAGGCTATCTATGTCAGACTCCTAATTATTGATTACAGTTCTGCCTTCAACAGCATAATTCCAAACAAACTCATCTGTAAGCTCTGAGACTTGTAACTGGATCCTCGACTTCCTGACCCGTAGACCGCAATTATTAAGAATAAATGACAACATCTCCTCAACACCAGTGCCCCACAAGGCTGAGTACTCAGCCCCTACTATAGTCCTTATGCACTCACGACTGTGTGGCCAAATTCCATCCCATCTCAATTTACAAGTTTGCTGACGACAGCACTGTTGTAGGTCAGATCTCAAACAACAACGAGACAGAATACAGGAAAGAGATGGAGTGCTGAGCAGCATGGTGTAAAGACGACAATCTCTCTCGCCGAGCCAGTGTGTTTGCAGATATTTCGTCACCCTGGTAGGTAATATCGTCGGAGTGTCTCCGGTGATTTGTTGGTGTTCTGTCTTGCTTCCTGCTTGTTAATTATATGCTTCGGTTGGTTGGGATGGTTGGTATTACTTTCAGTTCTATTTTTCAGTGGTTTGTGCATCAGATCCAGTTCAATGTGATTGTTGCTGGAGTTCGTTGGAATGCCAGGCTCCAGGAATTCCTGGCATGTCTCTGTTTGGCTTGTGCTATTAGGGATGTTATGTCCCAGTTGAATTCGTGCCCCTCTTTGTCCGTGTGTATTGAGACCAGGGAGAATTGGTCATGTTTCTTGGTGGTTAGTTGGTGTTCATGTTTCCTTTTATTGTCAAGTTTTCTTCCAGTTTGACCTGTGTATTGTTTCTCTCAGTCCTTAT